CATGCTATATTAACAAAAAGAAACATATTCTAGTTAAACTCATTTGTGCTGAACTTCGCGACAATATCATGCGACAGTATTTTAAAACAAGATGTATTAGAATTTCTGATGTTTTGCCTGGTATTAATTATGCTCCTGATGCAAGCAACTTAAATTCTATATGCAGCAAGCTTCGTCGGCTAAATGTTATAACGAAGTACAGGATAATAAATGGAGATAGAGCTAAAGCCAAAATTGTACTACCTGACGGTAAAGAAGTAGAACGAGATGCAAAGGGATTTTCTTTGTTGCTGTCAAACAGAAATGAACCTGCCAACTAAAATTACCACTTGTAAAACTTGGATACAATTAACGTATGTATTTTTTAGCTTTGTAAGAATCATGATTTTTATACTCTGAATACTTAATTGGATCCAAGTTCAATAGTATTATACTTTATTTCATATAAGCTGAAGTTTGATCTCTTTTATTCTTTTTTTACGATTAGCTGTTTTATCAATGAATTTTTTAATTAAATGGAATTTAATAAATTTTTTAATTCATTATTATATGTAGATTGTTTTGTGTTGGCTCCCCATCTTCCTACTTTTTTAATTAAATGCCTCTTGCAGAAGCATTAAAACCACTGTTAATATAGATGAATTAAGGTGTATCTTGAGGGAAAATACATTTGATTTGTTGGCTTTTTCGGAGACATGGCTTTCAAGTGATATACTGGATTCTGCGGTATCTTCTCCAGGCTATAATCTTTGCCGATGGGATCGTCAAATTCCAGGTAGAGGTGGTGGAGTTGCATTTTACGTTTCTAAGCGTTTTCAATATAAAACTTTTCCGTACACCCAAATTCTGCTTTGCTCTGTTCGTTGAAAACAATTTTGTTGACATTTCCTTTTGAACCTATTCGCTTTACTGACACACAGTAAAGCTTTTGTTTACAAACCTGTTGCTTTAATTCGTGCAAGTGAAATTTAATTTTTAATTTTTGCAATAAAATATATAAAAAATAAATAAAATATTAAAAAAATCTTTAAAATGCAAACACTTTTGACTTTTATTTCCTTTCTTTTGTATTTTGATTCGCAAATTTGGCAAAGAAAAATTTTTTAATGGAAAAGCAAGCGAAAATTTCAAAAGAGAAAACAAAAAATTTGCCAAATAAAAATCTGCCTGTGGAAAAGCAGACTTAGTAGGTGATAACACACTCTGCACTACACAGACCAATTCAGTGCCCTGCGGTATCTGATCATGCTCTTATCTTGGCACCACTTTCAGTTAATTGCAGTTGCTTACCAGGTTTTATTGAATATCGAGATTACGATAATATTAATTGGGATTGTTTATACTCTTTTCTCAACAACTATAATCCCAATGTGATTTATAACAGTATAAATGTTAATGAAAAATGTTTCCATGTGTATTCTCTTCTTGATTCGCTTCTTGCTTTTGTTCCTATTATTAGGAAAGAAATAAAGTACAATGGAGACTTTTGGATGAAATCTAGAGAAGTTAGATATGCCATTTCCATTAGGAATTTGGCTTTCTCTACTTTTCTAAGAGATAAATCTCAAGATAATTGGCAAATTTACTGCAAATTTAGAAATAAGGCAAAATCTATAATTCGCCGAGAAAGGAGACACCATTACTGCAGAGTTTTTAACGGTATGGATTCAGCGAGGATGTGGAAATATCTAAGAGGTTCTGGGTGTATGGGTAACGATCATGATGAGATAAATATTAATGTTAACTGCATAAATGATTTCTTTGTTAACTCTTCAAATTATGTTAATGAATCTTCCCATATCGATTTTGAAAATTTTGTTGACTCTAGTGCATCCTTTTCATTCCAATGTGTTGATGAAAATGAGTTTGTTGAAGCCTTGCTTAAAGTAAAATCAAAGTCAATTTGTGTTGATGGAATATCAATAAAATTTCTCAAAATAGTTTTCCCCTATATATCTGATGTGATCATTGATCTAGTAAACTGCATTTTAACAACTTCGGAATTTCCAAATGGTTGGAAGACGGCTCGTGTGGTTCCTATTCCGAAATGTCGTTTTGTTTGTGTTTCCGATGATCTCCGTCCGATTTCTATTTCACCAGCTCTTTCCAAGATAGTGGAGTACATTATTAAAAAACAAATGCTTCAGCACTGTAGAAATAAGATAATTGAATCCCAATATGCATTTCGTCAAGGTTATAATACTACCCATTTGCTTATTAAATTGACTGACTTAATTCGTGAAAACACTAATAATGATGAGTTGAGTGTTGTAGTATCTCTGGACTTATCCAAAGCTTTCAATTCAATTGTCCATGCGCTACTTGTGTGTAAACTGAGAGATTATTTCAATTTTTCGAAATCTGCTTGCAAGCTCGTTTTCTCTTATCTTTGTAATAGAAGACAATTTGTTGGACTAAATGGATTTGAATCTGATACTCTTCCACTATTCTCGGGTGTACCACAGGGTTCAGTCCTTGGTCCACTCTTATTTATACTGTATTTAAATGATCTTTCCATGGATTCGACCACATGTTCAACACTCTTGTGATGATCCACATCTACTGGAAGGTTATATTAACTCTAAACTGTTTTCCTTTATAGAAATTCGCTACGTGTAAACCCTTCAAAGACTAAAGCATTAAACGGCATATTCATTGGAACTTTTTAACTGGTTAACCTACTTTATGAGGATTTATTTGACTGGGTTAACGAAATCCGGTTGAATGTAAACGTACGTTCTAATAACCGTGTTTTGCCTTTATTCGATTTATATTTGAATCACGAAAAAATTAACTTTGTGGAACAGCATAAATGCTTGGGTGTTATTATTGACAATGTTATTATCGTTCAAAAGTCATATTGTCACTTTGGCGGGTAGAGTTTGGGGAACCTTGTGTAGAATATATGGCTCAAACCTTTACCTTCCTCAACGAGTGAAGTTGATGTTGGCAAATGCCCTCTTATTTTCCCAAGTCTTATATGGTCTTGAGGTGTATTCAGGTACAACTGGCAACTATACTTACAGAATAAAGAGAGTTGTGACTACCATTACACGTTTCATCTTCAATGTTCCTCGTGGCAGTCATATCTCCTCCCATGTTATTAGTTTTCTTGGTTGTTCATTTCAAATGTATGTAAAATATCGCTGCATTCTTCTCTTTTATAAATTGATAAAAAATGGTAGACCTCCTGCATTAAGGCGTATTTTTACTTTTTCACATTCCTCGAGAAATCCTCAAATAATTATCCCAAGGATTTATAAAAATGTTTATGCGAGGTCATTTTTAGTTCGCGTGACAAGGTGTTGGAATCTCCTTGCTCTTGAATTACGCATATTTTCACAAAGCAATAACGTTTTCCGGCTGAGAGTTTTGCATCATTTTCTAGATGCTGGTTTATAGTTTTTTATGATGTATTGACCTATTTATTAGTTGGGTTACTACATGCTGGACTTATAAATATATAAATTTAAACCATTTTTATGGCTTGGGAGCCAATATGCTAAGACACTCATGTAAATTCAAATAACATAATTTTTAACATTTTTTTTAATTTTTTTTTAGTTTTTAATGTTAGGTATAATTTATATATCTCAGGTATAAATTATTGTCATAAATACATTTTTATGGCCATATTGGCTTTGTATTATTAATGGAATTTGAAATAAATAAATAAATTTAATTAACTGTCAAAGTGCGTAGATTCTACATGAATTCGATTCGATGTTGCCAACCATGTGAAATATTACTAGAACAAATTTAACAGATTGTCGGGACCATAGCACAATAAATAGGTAGTCCACTGTCAAAGTGCGTAATTTCTACATGAATTCGAAGTGCAATGTTGCCAACCAAGTGAAATATTAAAAGGAAAAAATTGACAGATGGTCGAGACAAAAAGAAATGTTTTTGTTTCGATACATCACCTTATTACTGCATCATGGTTGCGAATGTGTATACCGGGATTTAGTAAAATAAATCGATTATTTGATTTTCTAATATGCTATAAATCATGGTCTATAAATAAGATCATCCAGGGAGACGAGCTGGATATCTGCGCCACTCATGTTTGCTGTCAAAATGCGTTATTGTGAATTGACTTACATTATGAAAACGTAAACAAAGTCGACATTTTTGACATTAGACTTGAGAAAAAACAGCTGTTTTCCTATTTCGATTGTTATATGGGTGACCTTATTTATAGATCTTGAGTGACCTTATTTATAGATCTTGCTACAAAAAAACATATGTTTTTGTTTTGATAGTCAGTAGTCACACGGGCAAATTTTTATGGTAAAGCAAATTGAGTTTATGGGCGAAGGAGTTGAGAGGAATAAAAGAATACAGACATAATTGTACTCTGCAATTCTGTTTTATTTCGTTATTCATTGTAAAAAAGCTGAAATTGGCTGGAAAATAGTTTTGCATTTTCTTTCATTTTATCTTTTCTGTCGGCAAAGAAAGGCCAAGACAGCTAATAAAATTAAAATATGTTGCGAGGGAAGAAGAAAATCAGTAACAAATATCTGTTTTTTGCTGTCAAATAATATAAATTAAATTTTAGTATGTTTTCATTGCAATCCACGGATATAGCTTCTTCAAGAAATTCAAGAGTACCTTACATAATCTTTTAATTCCATTAATTAATTTTCATGAACAATGGTTAAACAAGAAAATGAATGTGGGGGAGAATTAGAAAATTCATAAATTTGACACAAGCATTATTTGCTTGTGTAAACAACAATGGAATTTTTAAAGAAATTGAGAAGAAAATTTTCTCGTGTGACTACTGACATACATCACATTATTGTTGCGTCATGGTTGCGAATGTGTATACCGGGTTTTAGTAAAATAAATCGATTATTTGATTTTCTAACATGCTATACATAAATATTAATTATCGATAACAATAATAAGAATTGCTTGTCGATATCCCTGCACTGCACGTGGGTCCCAGCAGCTAAACAACAATAGGCGTTTATGTGCATTATTAAATTAAAATGGGGAAGACGCGAAGGAATAAAACGAGATTTGCATTAAAAGTCAATCCGATCGGCCTGGAGGCCAACGAAATGGATGATTTCTTGAATGCGTGTGACGAGTACGAGACATCCGGCGTTGGACCAATAGAGTCCATAAGAGATCAATTACAAAATGCCAACATCGAAGAAAAGCTAAATGGACTGCAGTCACTGGCAGTCTTAACAGCGAGCAAAGAAAAGGTGACAGCCATTTGCCAAACCGACATTGTACGTATTGCTGCCCCACTGTTGTGCGAGAAAGACGATTCCGTACGCAATTCTTGCGCTGGTGCTTTAAGGAATTTGTCTGTAAATGGAACAGAGGTGTGTGACTTCCTTGTCGAACAAGACGTTCTTACACCCCTGCTTGCTCTGTTGGCGGAATATGCACAGAATAATGATTGGAAACCTAGTTTCGATGCAAATATGTGCAATCAGATGGATCTGCGTTCGGATGTATTTCTGCAAGCTATTAACTTGCTGTGGAATTTATGTGAAAGCACATCAATTGCTGTCGATACCTTCAATCAAAGTAAACTTCTGGAAAGCTTTATTAGATGTTTGGACTTCAACGTATACGGAATTGAGATAGCAATTTCGGTGGCTCAATGCCTGTTGGTGGTAACTGAAAATAACCCGAAGACCTGGCACATTCTAAATCAATATGTGGCTAATTTCTTGTGTCTGCTGTCACTAAATGGTGATTTCGGTCATGCCTATTTGCGTACAATGGCTGCGGGTATATTGAGTAATGCTCCTGCATTGGCTGCTTCTTATGCTGGGACAATACTACAATCATTAACTGATGTTTTAGATACAAATCATCAGACGGCTCTATCTGGGATAAGTAATTTGTCTAACGAAGACTCTAAAAAAGATGCACCAGAGTTGGAAATAAAAATGGACACACAGGATGGTGAGTACAATTTTTGGTTAGCTTTATTTGAAGATTAGCACTAGTCACTATTAACACTTATCGGTATTTGGGAATAAGGACATTTCAGCTCCTTTTACTGATTAAAAAAGTAAAGAGAGCAGGCGTATAACCATTGTCGCTTGTGTTGGTTGTTAATCATCACTTTTCCAGACCCACTCTTTGATAATAGCGATCATATATAAAATAACTAAATCTTTCAGAAAGTTTTTCTATAGTGAACTAGGTTTCGACTAATATTAAAAGTGGTAAGTGTACCAGTCGTCGGCACTTTAAGGATTTACGTATTTTGAATTTGTCGGCATTTCGAGTGCATTTTTTCCGTTATATTTTATTCAGGTTCATTTGTTTAGTAAAATAGTGAAATTCGTGTGCAACAGGTTTCGACTAAAAAGTGGTAAGTGTACCAGTCGTCGGCATTTTAAAGATTTACGTATTTTGAATTTGTCGGCATTTCGAGTGCATTTTTCCGTTATATTTTATTCAGGTTCATTTGTTTAGTAAAATAGTGAAATTCGTGTGCAGCATAAATACAGTACATAACCTGCTCCAGCACTTTTGTAGTAGTAAAGCTATTAAAAAGTGGACAACGTGAAAATCGCTAATACTAAAAGTTTTAGAACTGAAAACTAGTAAAAACTCCATTTCGGCAACACTTTTCGAGTAAAAACATGAACAAATTTAAATATTAGTAGAATAAACATTACAACTAATTAGAATATATATCACAGCTTTTTAATATTAAAAACATATAACTCATAAGATACGATCGCTTATGATTTATTCTTAATTATAAGGGAAGATGCAATACAACATACTCTGACAACTCTAAATGGCTTCAACGGAAAAATACAATTCACGGTGGAAGAAGAAAATAACGGAAAAATTCCATACTTGGACACCATGGTAATAAGGGTTAAAAATAATGGATTATGTCTAGACTGGTAACAAAAACCGACGGCGTCAGGAAGATTAATTAATTACTTCTCTAAACATACAAAACGCACAATAATAAATACAGCAAAAAACTTAATAAATAGAGTACTAAATATAAGTGATAAAAAGTTTCACAACAAAAATAAATTAAAAATCGAATACATATTATTACAAAATAACTTTCCCATACATTTAATAAAATCTTTGATAAATCAGCACGAAACAAAAAAAACGAGAAAACGAGAGAACGAGACAGAATCGGAAACAAAAAAGATATATAAATCACTGATATATTTACCAAATATATCAGAACGATTGGAAAAATCTGATATCTATGACAAAACAAAATATACAATAGCACATAGCTCATATAAGACAACAAAATCATTATATAGTAAAGTAAAAAGCAAAATTCCAAAAATGGACAAACATAATGTGATATACGAGATAGAATGTGGTGATAACGAGAAAGAAGGTTGCGGAAAATTATATGTTGGAACAACAAAAAACAAATTGAAAACGCGAATGTCAGCACATAAATCTGACATTAAATTAAGAAACACAAATTCAATACAAAAAACGGCGTTAGCAGAACACTGTAAACACAACAATCACTTGCCTAACATAGACGACGTGAAAGTGTTACAAGAAGAGAACCATTACAACAAGAGACTAACAATAGAGATGCTCCACATCAATAGTTTACCAACAACAAAACGAATAAACAACAAAGCAGACACAGACAACACAGCTTACTGCTACAGACATCTAACGCGTAGTAGGGGATCGTGCAATTAACAAATAACAATCAGTGCAATAATAACTTTTGACCGTGGTAGTCACACTACACTAGTTTTAAGCTAATTATTTTATGTTTGTTATTGAAAAGTAAGCGATCGTATCTTATGAGTTATATTTTTTAGTATTAAAAAGCTGTGATATATATTCTAATTAGTTTATTTATTGTAGATCTGAAAACTTCCCTGAAGATGAAATTCAATGAATTTCGAAATATCGGAAAATAATAAATAAATACAAATATTGACCTCAAGCTCGATCAGCCATCTATAATTTATTAAACATTCGAAAGGTCGAAAAATCATAAACATAATTATTAGTAGAATAGTTAAGAAACGGAACTAAAATAGCAGTTTTCCAAATTTAAGTGAAAAGGGACAACTTTCGGCATGTACCAGTACTCGGTATCTGCTGTATATAATTTGAAATAACTAAAGAATCTTTTTTTTATTCCAAAAATGCAATTTGAAGCCATTAAGGCCGATTTCATTTAAATTGCAAACTATACTACTCCATTTAACAAGATTTCTTAATGATATCATAGAAGGTATTATTCTAAAAATAATAATATATTTCAATGTTTGGCAAGTGGCTAACTACTCAAGTAAGTGTATTAATGTCACATATTCAATATTTAGTAATAAACAGCATTGTATAAAATATAAGAATTTAAATTTGTATATTATAAAAAAAGATGACATACTTTAGTTTAGGTAGAAAAATTGAGAACTACTCCAAATCTTTCCACTATATATGAAAACTTCCATGAATAATATTCAATAATATAGTCATCTATCTCTGTGTAAAATTTCATCGAGGTAAGTTCATTTATTAGGCAGTAATTTAGCTTTTTAAATATTTGGTTTTTTACCACTAGCGACAATTCATGTTTCTTAAGAAAAAAATTAGTGAGCATGACGATTTAAAAGACTATATATTTTTCACCAGGATTTTTATTCATAATTGTTAAGAACATACAGAGGCACATTAAAGATTCTAACATTATTTAGGAACACACAAAATTACGATTTTCCTATAGTCAGCATATGGGTGAAAAATAAGCACATCTGCGATAATTTCAAAATTGGGGAAAATTTTAAATAACTACACTAAAGACAAAAATCAGTTTTGAGTGATTTTATACAATAGTAGGCATGGATTTAATCTCAAACATTTTTAACCTTGAAAGTGAGTTATTAGCCAAGCCGAGTATTGGATAAATGTTTCGTAAAGTCGGCAGCAAAATTTATAATTGTAACATAATCATAAAATAAATCTATTAAATTACGTTCTTGGCACAATTAAGAATAAAAGTCTTTTAGTAGCCATTTAGTAAAGAAAATAATAAATAATCAGTCAAATATAAAATTTTTTCTTAAATTACAATACGACATGCCGACTATTGGAACAAGACAACTGGAAAACTAGCGCAGACTATTGGCAAAAATCACTATTTTACCTAATTGTGAATTTGTTTAACTTTAATGCAAACCAATTGAAAATTTGTTAATGCCATCAGGAAGTAAACAAAAACCTTAATACAATATAGGGGAATAAATGCACCCGGAATCCCGAAAAAAATTAAAATACGTAAATCCTTATTGTGCCGGCGACTGGTACCCTAATTCAACCAAAAATTCTTCTATGTCATTTAAATATGTTCCTAATTATAATAAAACGGACTTCCGAAAGCTAAACGCACTTATCTCAACCGTAAAGTGGGCCTCATTATTTATTTGTGAGAGTCATAGTGATTTACTATTATCAGTATATAAATTTTATATCCTAAATAAAATTATTCAAGAATGTTTTCCCACTGTTAGAGTTAGAAACTCGGAAAGATATCCATGGGTCGCATATATTAAAAATTATAAAAATTAAAATAAAAGTCTAAATATACGACAGAGTCCCGAAAACTTTACAATCTTTTTAAAACAATATTAAACATAATTTCAAATCCAATCCTAAATCTTTTTATGACTTTGTTAATATAAAAAGAAAAGCTACGTAAAGCCCACCATTTTGAAATTCAATAATCAGACAATTGAAAAAACTCTGAATTTTCAGACTCTGCTTTGCAAATTTTTTCGCTACAACATATTCGTATTTAACCTGTCCAAATAAAGACACAAATATCTATGCATTTTTTACAGTCACGTAATTTAAGATCAACTAAAAGTCCATGTCCGGATGGCATTCCTAGCATAATTCATAAAAGTACTGTTCAGATACATCGGATATCCCTTTAACGCTGTTGTTTAATTATTCCCTGAAATATAGTAATTTTCCTACCTTCTGGAAGAAATCCTATATAGTTCCATTACACAAATCTGGAAGCTTAACTAATGTCTCGAATCATAGAGGAATTGCTAGATTAAGTGCAATTCCAAAATTCGAAAAATTGATTACTGATATAATTTCTCATAAAGTTCAGCCAATCTTAAGTACATATCAACATTGTTTTCGTAGTCGCCTCTCTACCATTACCAATCTTATACAATTTCCCTGATGTTCCTTCCGGTGTTCCCCAAGGAAGTCGTTTATGTCCACTCCTCTTTCTTTTATTCAAAGTTGGTAATGTATGCAGACAATGTCAAGTGGTTTATCATGAAGCATGATGATTTACTTCAAAATAGTTTAAATAGCCTTTTCAATCGTGCAAATTAACAAGTATTGGTATTCATTAACAAGTATTTGTATTTTTTTACCGGGCCATTGAAAAATCTTAAAAATTTTAAATCCGTAGAAAATAATTCTGTTAGTGAAGCGGGAAATGGAAGTACCATGAAATGTATGTGCTTATTATAAAAATTCACCTTTCCGTTCCACCTAAAATTGCAGTCTACTACCTTTTTAATTTCTTTTCGATTTTCTGCACCGCCACTGTATATGATTCTCATCGAATTAGAAAACGTAAAAAATCTAGTACTGAGGAAGGAGTCTGCAACTTAAATACCTTATATTATAAGAACATTGACAACTTGGACTCACGAAACTTTCAAACGTGCAACCGAGGAACCGAGGAACTCACGACGCTTAACACAGTATAAATATCGCATAACCCTATAGAACAGGTGCTTATTTCACGTAAAATTTATCCACAACAACCCCAATCTTAACACATTTGACAGAAAGAATGCATGAGCCAATTGAATTCTAATGTTTTTAGATAACACCGTACAAAATTAACTCATAAGCAGAAAATTTGTTTGGTGTTTTATGAGAATTTGTTCTTTAAGGTACATAATAAAATCGCAAAGGGCTTTCATGGAAATGTATCATGGAAATGTATTCACTAAAAGATTTTCTGGGTGGAGAATGATTGAAAAAATTTGGATACATTTTTGTTCATATAAAGTCGAATGATTTACAATTAATTAACAATATAATTCAGTATTTACAACAAATATCACCCATTTCTATAGATGAAAGTGAGGAGGCTGCAGCAAATCGCAGAAGACGACAGGAACTGCCCACTGAGGCTGATATTGCAGTGCGAGATGTTGGATATTTGTTGGACGCACAACGTGTTGCCGCCGAAATCATAACAAATTTGTGCTCGCCAGATGATGAAGGTAAGTGTTTGCTTATCTGGCGAATAAATAGCAAATTAATTGTTGCTTTTTGGTTAGCATGTTTTATTTAATTCGTGTATTTTTATATTAAAACTATTTTTTCAGATTGGTCTGACATGGAGGATGATGATGTCTCCGAGAACGAAAGCATTGTTGACTATGAATCAAAACAGAGTAACGGTAGTAGCACCAACCTCAACGAAGGAGACAAATTACCGACAGAAATTACGGAAGCTATAAAGTCGCTTGTATTGGTAGAAAAGGTAAAGATGATTTCAGATAATGATAGCCAAATGACCATGAGCGATTCCAAAAACTCCATTGCATGGACTACTCCAAAAGCTTAAAATTGACAGTATATCACTTAATCATATCATAAACAACCGTACATGAACTACTCCAATTTATCACTTTACATACTCAACGTTATTAAATTCATTTCAGATTTGGCAACGTTCCCAGCCATTGGAAAATAGTTTGGCTCAACAATTAATGGAGTCAAATATTAGTCTACTAATGAAGTAAGTCCACATGTCTGTCATTTAATCGATCAAGGATAGTAATGTTTATTGGCCCACAGGGCTAAGAATTTACGTATTTCATCTCTCTTGTGTCTACAGAATTTGTGTAACTGTTTAAGTGCCGAAGATTTGGGTGGTCACAATGCCATTTACAATGTTTGGGTAGAGTTGGGACAACAAGTATTCAAAGGACCAAAAGATCCCACAGTCCTGGAACCATCGACTTCACTGATGCGAGCATCGTTGGAGCATTTGAAAACGAAAAAGGAGCTTTTCAATCAAATGACACAAAACGACTTAGAGGTTCGTTTGACTCAATATAACTTACCACATCTAACCACAAATATATATTCTTCTACACACAGCTTATTCTTGATGGTGTTAAAAACTGCAGCATGCCAGAAATTCGTGCGAATTGGCTACGTATGTTGGGCACTTTAGGTTGTTTGTTGAACGAACCCCTTGTACGAGTTATTATCTCCTTCATTGTGGAAACATGTTCCAATGTGAGTTTTTGTTATTTTTAATAAATTATTTCGAGGGATTTATTTCACCTAAATTATTTTTTTTTATATGAAGGAAGAAGATGTATGGACAATTTCAGAAGCTCTTGACGCTCTAATGGATATGTTCTCTGACAACGATTGGCATCAAATTCTATTAGATCTTAGTTTGCCTCTCATTATGAAGGACTTGGAGAAAAAATTCAAAACTAAGGTACGTTCTCAACGTAAGGAACTTAAGGATCGTTATCCGGCTGTACAGACTGTGGTAACCAATTTATCACGTTTTACGAAGTATATAGAGAAAGAAGCTGTAAAATATGCAAATGGTACTAGATGTACCTAAAACTAAACACCACTATATATGATTTATGTGTATATCTGTATAAGCTAAGTTATTATCACTATATATACACGATTCTTTGAAAATATTAAGCCTTTACTCGATATGTTTTAATAAATTGGAATAAATTTATGTTTGTAAATCTATATGTTTCATTAAAAAAACAAATATATTGTGGTTGCAAGTTGCGACGGTTCCAATTACAAATACAACAAAAATACGCTCATCAAGACTGTTGTCTAAAAGGTTAACATCGATCAGACCATATGCACATTATCGTTACGATGTTCGTTTCAGATAACTGTCCAATCTATCTTACTATTTGACATCAGAAAATAATTAAATATTCCTATTAAGTCCAGTTGAAGAGTAGCAACATTTGAAAAAACCTCAAATGACTTATCAAAATAAATTGATACAGTAAATCACACCAAGCCTTACGTGTGGTATTCAGAAAAAGAAGATAGGTGAAACAGAGCTATCGCAGATCGGACTCTTTGTTGATGACATATGCCATGGGAATTATCTTTCACTTAGTTAATGAAGCGATGCAGTTGGAGTTTTTCGTCTGGTTGGTGCGCATCAAATTAAGGGGAAAACCTTTTTGTTCTATTAGTGTACTAAGTGATGCCAAGTTTGGTACAATTTGATTCAAAACATATTCAGCCTTATTCTGGACATCAATTCGCCATGAATTTGTTCGCTCCGAAATTTATAGTTATTCTGAACAATTTTTACGTTTCCCTTATTCTGAATCAAATAAAATGCCATTGGAAATCCTATTGATAACGATGCATGATCTACCAAATATTGCCACGAAATGTAGACAATAAGTAATATTTAAGCCGAGTTTGATGCAATTTGGAGGCGAAATAAATACATTTGGTATGGGTATCTGTCTGTCCCCCCCCAAAAAAAAAGATAAACATTTATGACAAACCTAAATAACTAAATTTGCTTGTTGAGCCGCTTACCAGTGAAAAACTGAAATAAAAATTACGAAGGAACAATAATAAAGCCACTTTAAGAATATCGAAATTAAATAAAAAGGCACACAAATATGTAGTGAAATAAAAAACTGCGAATTAATTTAATTCAATCACAGATTTCTTCCCATTAAACGTTGTGTCTTTAACATCGTTCAATGCGGTTTTTGCCATCAAAAGAAATGTTCCTTTATTTGTAATTTTTTGTAGTTGTTGTACCAAATTGCATCAAAACAATAGACAGCTGTTTCCCAAGTCGTATTTTGCCATATTTTCAAACTTAAATATTGTTGCATGTGACTGTATTATTTTTTTTATTTAATAAAAAAACGGCAGCAATTTTCTTATCGATGTGTTTCGTGGCTGCCGGTCTAGAAGAAATAAGCAGGGCTGCCAGGTTTTTTTTGGATAAATCGTCAAAATGACGATTTTTTTTTTATCAAAAATCGTCAAAAAATTAAATACGCAAAAGAGGAATTCAATTTATTAAACACGTTTTTTAAAGCTAATCAAGAAATTCATTTATTTTATAAATAAATATTTGAATAGTCATTTCGACTTTAATAAAGTCATTCATTTTGAAAAGAAATATATTGTGGTCATTTTCAACATGTCGGTTTTAATTAACGTATCATAACAATTTGTTTTGTTAACTTTTAAATAATCTTTGGTATAAATTTCTCCATTGAATCCTTATTGGGGGAATTTCGACTTTTCGTTTTATTAAGATTTACTTGGCAGAAAATACGCTCAACATTTGCTGAGGAATGGGGTAATACCATACCTTCCGTACAAATTTATCTATTATAGGAAAAACATATGAACCATCACCACGTTTCAAATCAAATATTTCATTCCAAAAACGAAATAAATCGGTTTCATCATTTTCACAAATGTTATCAAAATCAAACAACCTTAGTTCGCGAAATTCTGAATCCAATTATTATTTTTCATCTTCGTTCACAAAATGTGGAAATTCTTTAAGGATATCGAAATATGAATTATTCTTTTCATTACAAATATACGTGGGACTTATCATAGATACAATTTTAAAAATGCTTTCAAATCGAATCTTTTTAAAATTGTAATAACTTTGTATAAATTGAAACTTAAATTTAATATAACAACGTTTCCGTTCACCAATTTTCTTCAATTTGCCCGTGTCAAAAAACAACAACCGTTAACTTTTATTTGTTTTGTTGCTGTCTACCCAGAGAACGGCACAGCTGATTGGTAGTTTTTCATCTATCTGGGTAAAAGTATACCTCACACACATATGCCAAATATTCAAATTCTTTTTACTTTTTCTTTTCCAAACCCAACCCAAATATTGCAATATTACTAAAATGACCAAAAATCGTCAAATCGTCATTTTTCTATTTTTGACCAAAAAATCGTCAAAATGACGATAAATCGTCAAATCTGGCAAATCTGGTAGGTAATGAAGTTGGCTGCATATAAACAGTGTTGCTATAATGGAATAATGATATGAATAATGAATGTGTAGTTAGTGGCAGTGGTCACGTAACGCACATGAAATGCAACACTGCGTGAGCGTAATAGGTTTGGATGTAGCATAAAACAGACATAAATAAATGTCGGAAAATTGTGCGAAAATGAAAAAAGGAGGGAAAATCCTGCTTGGGTTTCGGGCATATAAAAGGAGCGAATGAGAGAAAAATCGCCATAGTTTTTTTTGTGTCGACTTAAAATCCAATTGGATTTTTTCCCAAAATAAAAAAATCAAAATAAAAAAATATATTTTTTTTCTTCAAAGTTTATTGTGGTGTTGTGTGTACAAACATGTGTTGTGCGTATGCAAAAATGTAAGCATGTTGTTTAATGTGTTTGTTTTTTGTCGCTTCAATGTCCTGTATCAGATAAGGTCAGGAGGAGCTCAGATAAAATTTTGAAGAATATTTTGACGATAGTTTTGAGGATTTTCGAAAAATCGTTGGAAAACAGCCATAAAAGAGTCCTGGATACTTTGCCATAAATCCAGCCAAAAATCTCTATTAAAATTGGAATTGGAAAGTGTTGGCAACCCTGTTCGTGATAACACCTGTTTTGCAACGAGCTCCGTCACTCGATTAAAAAACAATAATTTTTGCAAGTTTTAACTGTGATTGGGTTTAAAATTTTGCTCGGTATTAAAAACTTACTCACAAAATATTGTGGAGCATTAAAATAATATGCCTGGAAGAAGTAGAAAAAGTGTTAATGCAAATAGAAAGCTTTGCTACCAGTGTAAATTATCGGTGGATGAAGAGGAAGATGATTCCATCGCATGCGATAAATGCAAGAGAGTTATGCACGCACAATGTACTAAATTGAATAAGAGAGAGTTGGAAAGAGTAATGGATGATGAAAGTGTCGAATACGTGTGTGTCGTGTGCAAGGGCGACGATGACAGTTCGATCAAAGAGGAACTAAAGATAATTCGAGATAAGCTAGATCAGCTGTCTGATATTAAAGAATCGATAAATTTTTTATCGTCACAATATGATAATATGTTGAAATCAATGAATGATAATAAAAGACAGCTGGATTTGGTAAAGAAGGAGAACATTGTCTTGAAGGAGGAAATATCTGCTCTAAAATCATCAATCAAGATCTTAAATAATGAAAGGGTGAAGAAAGATTGTATCGTGATTGGCGTACAAATGAATGAAAATAAATCAGCAATGGATGTGATTCTCGACTTATCGAAATCAATGGGTGCTGAACTATGTGCTGATGATATAGAAGATGCTTTCTTCATTAACAGAAGAGGAAAACAAAGTAATAAGAAAAACATTATAGTTAAATTTGCACAAAGGAAATCGAAATATGTTTTTATGAAAGCTAAATCCACTTTGAAAACTAATGAACAAACGAAGAACATTTTTGTAAATGATTTAATGGGTTCCGAAACATACAATTTGTTCAATTATGCTAAGGCACTCAAAAAAGTTGGCTATGAGTCCGTATTTCATAGCAATGGAAATATTTTTATCAAAAAGAATGAGAATTCTCGGGCCAAAATTGTAAGATGTGAAGATGAGGTGGATAGCATTATGTTGGACGCTGCCACTTGTACCTCAGCTCCAAGGAAGAGTATGCAGAGGCCGATTAATGTTAGTGTGGATGTTAGTAGTGATGATGAGGAACAGTCAGGAAGTATATCAAATAACAACAAATGATTTTTTTTCTATCTTTTTCAAATTTTGTTTAATTTTCCTTGAATAAACATTTCTATATATTCTTATGACTCAATATTTTAATAACTTAAATTTATACACGAATTTTTTGAACAGTATAAATGGAAATTTTATTAATTTTGTTACTATAAATGTTAGAAGTATTTCTTCGTTAGATAAGTTCTATGAGTTCAAATCCAAATTGGCAAGTTTTCCAACGTTGCCGGATATTTTGTCAATAAATGAAACATGGTTTAAAGAAGATAGTTTGCAATTATACTCGTTACCACACTACAATGTTGTTCACAGTTGTAGAAGTGATGGATATGGTGGAGTTTCGGTGTATGTTCGTGATTGTTATAAATTTTCCATTCGCTTTTTAAGCAGCGAGGACTTTGTAAACCTTATTCATATTCAGTTACTTAATCTCAAGGTGTGTGGAAAAATGTGTGAAATCATATCATTCTATAGATCTCCAAAATGTAGTGTGAGTATCTTTTTGGATATTTTAGAGGAGAGGTTGTGTTTCATGGGAGAAGTTCCATCTATTGTCCTGGGGGACTCAAACATTGATATTAATGGAAGTACGGTTTCTGTTGATATGTTAAATCTGTTTCATTCGTACGATTTTGAATCTTGTCACAATTTGGTCACTAGACCTATAAGTGGTACAAGTATTGATAATGTGTTTTCGAATATGCACAATGCACTGACAGTGGAGGCTGTGGAGTGGATGTTAAGTGATCATAATTTAATATTTTGTAGGATGAAGTCGAACTATAAAATGACAGAATCGTATGTAAGAGAATATATATATTTAAATTATAATAACATTAAAC